GTAATAAGAAAAGACAATAGCACACGTAAGTATTGCTTGGGGGACTCGAGAAACATGTTATCTTGCCATCGGAAGATGATCCTGGATGTGAAAAACCAAGGCCATGCATGTGAATACTGGAATCTTTCCGGCAAAGGGTAAGATATGTTGTAACAGAGAATTCAGCATGCCTTTAACGGAAAGTTGTTTTATGAATAGGCGGCTTCTGTTTACTAGTTGACTGGAACGAAATTTTAACAGATACTACAGAGTGATCCTTGTTACCAAGAGGATAGTGTCACGAAGCTCAGCAAGGGCGAGGAGAGCGGGTAAGAGATAAATCAAGTAGAGAACCCTGTTGATCGCATTTGTTAGGGAGACAAGCAAGGAAATCGACGATTTGAGTAAGGGATTGAGCAATAGAAACAAAAATGAATGTCTAAATATCAGCAACATCAATACCTTTAGAATGTTTAAACATTTTACTGCATAGTCTGTCTATATTTCTGAGATGTGGTATTATGTACAGTATTTACATTAGTCGGACTATAGTCCTCATCTTTGTCGCCATGTTTGTCACAACGTTTCGGCCGTTGTACGCTCCGGCCTTCTTCAGGTGGTTGGAATTTCGAACTGAACCCTTAAGGACACATGGCACAGTGGATAAAGGCGTTGGTTAGATCCAGTGACAGACCCAAAGAAGGTGAGTTCAATTCCTGGTTAAGGCAGTGGAGAACTTTCAGAGGGAAAATTAGCAGGAGATAACTGATAATTGACATCCATCAAACATGGCACGTGGAACTAGAACAGTCTACCCCAGTGATCGAAATAAAGGGTTCAGTTCGAAATTCCAACCATCTGAAGAAGGCCGGAGCGTACAACGGCCGAAACGTTGTGACAAATATGGCGACAAAGATGAGGACTATAGTCCGACTAATGTAAATATTTTACTGCGTGTCGTGATGCGCAGTAAAATCACCGAAGACAGATGGATGGAGAGAGAATGACTTTTCTATACTGTCAGAGATTATACCGAATATACTGTAGTCATGAGAAGAAGGGGAGCGATAAAGGTACCCCCCCCCAAAAAAAAAAAACTGAGATAGCTAACAGTGTAATAATGAAAGACGAAAGCACATGAAAGAATTATCTGGGGACTCGAGAAACAAGTTCCCTTGCTATCGGAAGATTATCCCAGATGTAAGCACCAAGGGTATGCATGTGAATACTGGAATCTTTACAGAAAAGGGTAAGATAAGTTGTAACAGAGAATTCATTGGTAGCAATGGAAGAACTTATCTTGATTTCACAAAGCGCAAGTATTTATGTATGCTTATGTGGTATATGAGTTGGTATCTCCTTTTTTATTTTCTTAAAAAATGAAATTAATGCCAACTGGCCTAGATCGAGAAGCTCTACTAAAGGAAGACCTACTGAGGAAAAATGTGTCTCCGGATTGGAATCGAACCTGTATTTATATTATAAGAGTCGTTTCCCTGTCGGAAAAAGGCAATACAGGTTCGATTTCGTTCGAGATACAGGTTTTTTTTTGTAGGACTTCTTGATCTAGACCGATTGGTATTGATTTTTCTGTTTAAGAAAAAAAAATGTAATGTCAACTTAAACATGTGCACCCACTAAAATTAAGGTTTTCCTAATAATAAACACATTAATAATAATAATAATAAAAATAATTATATATATATATATATATATATATATATATATATATATATATATATATATATATATATATATATATATAAATAAAATGAAATGAAAAACCTGGTAATCCGCATGGGTGGTCACAAGGAGGATGAAATCCTGAGAGCTCAATGTAAATCCAGAGCTAATATTTTTAAAATTAAATTAAACCCTCTCTAAACTCTACCATGTCTCTCTAACCACTCCTTATTACACTCTCTGTTAAATTACAAAAACTTACACTACCCATCAATTTTCATTTCATTTGTCGTTTCATCTTTTGGAAGTGCTATCTGATGATCCAGCGTCCTTTAAAAGGGCTCTGGCGAAATAAATTATTATAATGGAACCTTAAAGTGGTCTTTTTTTTTAATAATAATATATATATATATATATATATATATATATATATATATATATATATATGTAATGAATAAAAAGACAAGAGGAAAAAACTATTCTTAGCTGACGCGTTTCGTCCTCCGAAGGACTTTATCAAGGCAAATATGAGCTTAATAATGTCCCTCAGAGGACGAAACGCGTCGACTAATAGCTCTCCCTTTTGTTTTTTTATTCATTTTGTTCCTTTACATATACACTCTATCTGAAAATAATTTACACACAAATGTACAATGTACGTGTGCATACCTTTATACACTTGCTTTACCTGAGACAAGGAATATTTTTATTGTTCAGTTACTGATGTTTTCATATGGAACGTTTGTCTGGATTTAATGAGTGTACTGTCCAAACTTTTGATAACGGTCGCTTTTGGCTGTAGGTTTGGACTTCAGATTCTAGAAGCGCCTAATAAGAAAACATCACAATAATAATGACTATGATAATAGTCTCAGCATCGTGTATTTGGAAGCCTTTCTAATAAATTCTTCGGATTTTTGATGGTCTTAGGAGCAATTCAAGAAAATCTCAACCAAATATGATCCCGTTCTGCTTGGGAACTGGGCCATTAAGTAGATTCTTAACAGAGAAATAGACTCTTAATAGATACATTCATTCTAGTGACGTATTTTGCTTCTCTTATCGCACCGTGCATAATGCTGAGATATAATACTGAACTAAAAATTCTTTAAATTTTAAAAACGACTAACATACCGTTAACATAAATATTATCCATGTGTGTTTTTTTTTATTCGGGAAGATGAGGTATTTTCGAATTTGTAGGGGTGGGGGCATTTCGAATCCTATCCTCTCTTTTACATTGTTTATTTTAACTATTCCGAGATCTACTGAAACTAAGCAGTTCCTTTTTAAATTAATTGAGAATAAACGACAATGAACTCATGATATTATTTTAGCTATTTCGAAAGGTGATGAAAGTCCTTTACTTTTATTCCTTAAAATAAAGCACACACCAGTCCACCGGTTTCGTCCCCTCTCGTCAGAACTGTTAACGGGGAACTAAGATTATGAGGAAAAGAAAAAGTCTGTCATGGGTGACATGAATGAATGGACAGGGAAGGAAAAAATATTTTAAACTTAAAAAGATATTTTAAACTTATCATGGCCTCCAATACAAAATTTCTAGTTTTTAATGCCTTAATACGCTTTTGTACCGTTTCAAACCTATTTAAATATATATATATATATATATATATATATATATATATATATATATATATATATATATATATATATCTATATATCTGTATATATATATATATATATATATCTGTATATATATATATATATATATATAATAGTTCCAACGAGAGGAAAGTGTGTATATTAAAAAAAACCGCAAACGTTTTTGGTTGTAATGTGAATTTAAATATATATATATATATATATATATATATATATATATATATATATATATATATATATTTTATTTTCCATAATTTTGCATGCCACTGAAATATGCAAGTTTTCTTTAATTCAGTAGGTTGTCCCACATTCGGAGATTCTGTCTCCATTTTTTACGTTTTCTCTTGGATGTGTAACTGTTTGATATTTTCCTGGTATCCAAACTGTGTTTTGAAATATTCTATCAGTGTTTCCGTGTTGCAGTTTCGTTCCCTGGTTTGTTGTGATGTGATTTGTAGGAGTAGAGCATCCACTTTTTTGTTCAATTTCTGTCTTTCTTCCTCCAGCAGTTCCTGTTTTTTGCTGGTAATTTTGAATAATTCAAGGAGTTCTTCCATGGCTTTCTTTTCAGTTCGCGGCATCATTCTTTCGTTGTAGTTATATAAAGGGAAGAGGTTCTAGTAGTTCCAATATATATATATATATATATGCATATATATGCCTCTGAAAAATTTATTTCGGTTGAGCTCTCTGGGAAGGAAGTGTGAGTTTGTAAACAGTGACTATTACTGCTAATAATGCAAGATTCTTCGGTAAAGCGAAGCGAGTTCTTCCAGTCACTGTGTGTTTATTTAAAAATAAATATGCTTAAATTCATCTTCATCCCTGCCGTGCGCCAACGGCTTAGGGGTAGAATTTCCGACTGATGCCAATTCAACCGGGTTTCGATCCTGGCTGGAGGCAACTGTACGTCTCGCCACACTGATGAGCTGTGATACAGCAAAACAGTCTTTCTGTGGATGACTATATATATATATGTGTGTGTTCGTGTGTGTAAAGCAACACAGGTAGTGTTTACTTTCTTACTTTGCAAAGTCTTCTGTGATGTCTAAGTCTTATAAATATCTACTGTTCCTTGCTAAGAACACCTAAATGAATTTATTGTAAAAGAGAAAAAAAGAAAGAATATAAAAACTTTTAAACTACACATTACATCCCGTAAGCCTCACACCGGACATTTCCTTTCGTTTTTTTTGTGTTCTATCCAACCGAAAAGTATCAGTTTGGATGTTGGAAGCGCAAAAGAAAATGGAGAAAGATAAACGAGGCTGGTCGTCATATCAGAAGTTAAGACAAAGAGATTCGAGGATATGGCGGAAACGAAAGAGCAGACGATCCTGCCAAGCAGATGGTTTTTGTCCAACGCCATTGGTTGTTTTTTTTTTTTTTTGGGCTAGGTAAATGAATATTACCCGTCAAGTGCAGTGTTCAAGTCTAGGCTGCAGTCCAGAAAAACAAATGCTTCTCCAAGAGAAGGACGACTTAGAAAAAAAGAGATAGAAACAAGGAAGGAAAAAAAGAAAAGTAGATGGAGAAAGTGAGAGAGAAATACACTAAAGACAGAGCTACATAAAGAAAGGGAGAGTCAGAGAAAGCGAGAAAATGATAGAGAATGATAAAGAGAGATAGTGAGAGAGAAACAGAGGGGAGAAATTAAAACAGAGGAAAAAAGAAAGAAATTAAACTAAAAGCAAGACAGAGATTGATAAAATTCAAGTGAAAGAGAAATCGAGAAAATGAGTGAGAGAATGATAGAGATATAGAAAGAGATATAATGATAGGGAGAGTAAAAGAGAGAAAGGCGAGACAGATAAAGAGAGAAAGAATGTGTGAGAGAGAATTGCCCGGATGAAAAGAGACAGAATGAGAGAAACTGAGAAAAAAAAAAAAAAAGATAGAGAGAAAGAAAAAGGAAAGGTTACAGAGGAAGGGGTAACTAATGATCGATAGATTGATGAATAATCAATAAAAAGAGTTAAAATTATACGAAACAGAGAGGAAAAAAGAAAACGAGAAGGAGAAAGAGAGTGAGAGAGAGAGAGTAAAAGCAAGAGAAACAGCGATAGATTAAGAAAGAGAGTCAGAGAGAAAGCGAGAAAATGATAGACATAGAGACAGAGATAGATAAAGATAGAGAGAGAAAGAGAGAGAAAAGTGGAGTAAGAGAGACAGAGAAATAGTGAGAAAGCAGAAAAGAAAATGAAAGGCACCGAAAGAGGAAGGAGCAACTCCCCCACCCCCGCCAAAAAAAAAAAAAAAAGGAGAAAGAGGTTAGAGTTACGTTCCTCTTCGCAATATATGAATCCGTCTAATCTCGCTATCCCGCCAGCCTAGGTGGCAAGTAGCGAAGAGAACGAAAACTGAATTCAAAGCCAACACGAAGTGGGATAGGCTCCGTCAGATTATTATGCCCTAGACACACCACTGCTGCAATGGCTGCAGTACATGCTGTCTCCCAAATACACTTATGCGACGTGAGACTCGAATCGACAAACTGCTTCATTCTGACGACTCCGATTCAGTGCTCACTAGGTCTGTGTGTTTTGCTGACCGTCAAACGTAGCCTTTTGACCAGGAGTAGAGGTTTATCCCTTGTTTCCTATTTAGGACTGGGTTTCTGGTTCCTTCTAAAGTATACTTCAACTCTATACTTCTAACGTCTCTTCTTGAACTATGAAATTTTATGCCTTTTTTAAAGACATAAATATGTCCGTCTATCGTTCGGTTCACACTCCTCCTCGGCTTTTTGAACAGGAGTAGAGGTTTCTCCCTTGTTTCCTGTTTAGGATTGGGCTTCCGGTTCCTTCTAAAGTCTGTTTGAACTCTATACTCTTAATGTCTCTGCGTTTTTATAGGAGTAAATATATTCGCGTCTCGTCTGGCTCATATTTCTCCCCGGTCTTTTGAACAGGAGTAGAGGTTTATCCCTTGTTTCCTGTTTAGGACTGGCTTCTCCAGTTCCTTCTAAAGTCCACTTCAACTCTTTACTTTTAAAATCTCCAACTAAACATTGAAATATTATTAACTATTTATCTTTTATTTTTTATTCGATAGGAGTAGATAGGTTTGCCTATCGTCTGGTTCACACTCCTCCACGAATTTTTGAACAGAGTAGAGGTTTATCGCTTGTTTTCTGTGTAGTATTTCTTATAAAGACGTCATTTTCTTTTACTCGCAGTCGCGTCTTGCGTCTTATTGGCATTATTGCTTGGGGTGAATTGATTTTGAAAAATTGCTTTTTTATGTTTACCATTTCCTATGTCTGTATTTGTTGTTTTAGTTTTTAGCTTCAATTTTTAGGAAATTATTTATTTGAAGTAATCCGATGACTTGACCCAAAGTAGTTGTGATTTCAATACCTGGCTACAGCAGAGGTAACCAAAAACTTGGAGAGTCGAGTTACTAACAGTGAAATAACTGAGATATTCGGAGGAGGAAATCGCACGTGGTACCAGAACAATCGGTGGACGAAATAATTGGTTCGGTTCGAAATTCTTATCTCCTGAAGAAGGCTGGAGCGTACAACGACTGAGACGTCGTGAATATGACTATAGTTTTACCACCAAAGGTCTGAACTTTTTTTTTAACCAAACAAGGCACTATTTTTATCTTGTGATATAAACGGATACCTACTAGTATTACTACTTCACAGATGTGAGTTGCCATCAATATTTTCTCTTCCCTTAAACAGTAGGAAACTAATGTCAAGCAGCTTAGATTGTGAAGTCCTACTAAAGAAAAAGGTGCTTCCCAACAGAAATCGTATCTATATTCCCTTTTGGCATCAGGAAAAACACACGTAAATCCGAAGCATGCCCTTAACAATTAGGTCACGGGAGACCTTCGTGACAAAGGAAGGCTCAATTACCTTAAAGAATGCGCACCTCTCGTTAGAAGTGTTTTCGTTTTATACGGCTAGTTCATCCAATACAGGGCCTAAGAGCCACTCAATGTAGAGGATCACTGAACGAGATTGTTGTAATGTTTGGGGAAGGAAGAAAGAAGAAATGCACATTAGCAGGACGTATAGGATAGAGTTAGGTCGAACCTGCAGTTGAAGAAACCAACATTCTAGTTGTCACGGAAGCATCCTCTCAGGAGTTTTTTTTTCAACAGTTCTGGAGTAGAATTGGTTGGTTGTTTTGTTTTATGGCATATCAAAACCTCAGTCGGTCATTTAATGCCAACAAAAGATTTGAAATAAATTCATAGCAATAGTTTGGTAAAAAAAGTGTGTATGTATACATATTTATTTCAACCATTTTTCAGTTACTCATATTTTTGAGTACAATCACAGGTATTGCTGGTAATATTTTTTTTTCCAAAAGTATATTGCTGTTAATAGTTATTTTTTCTTCAAAAATTAATTCTGGTAATAATTTTTTACAAAGTATTTCCTGTATTAAAGCCTATTTTTACACTTTTATAATGATTTTACCTCAGTTTCGGGGTTAGCTATTTGTCCATAGCTGGGACCCTAACAGGTGCTACCACTCGGGGCAAGGGTGGACCTAGGAACACCAGCAATTAAAAGGTGGTTCCACGCTCCTCAAAACCTCCTGATTAGAGGTTTTGTTGTTGGATGTAGTTTAACGTCGTATCCTGGGGAAGAAACTGGATGAGTGGAACTTATTCCTTACCAAAGGAACACGAAGGGAATTGGAATGGTTTGTCAACGTGAACCTGGATGGTGGGTCATAGTTGTGAAGGTCTGAACTGGTGGATAAACACATTATTATTTAAAAAAAAACGAAAAAAAAAACGAGGACAACGGTCCGAATAATGTAAATAGTTACAATACTTGATCTCAGAAATATAGACAGATATTGAAGAATGAATATTACTAAATTCTGTTGAATTGAAAAATATTTCCAACTTCGTAGCCGCAGTAATATATGAAACGGATGAAATCTTAGCTTAATGGCTTTTCTCTCGATTTCTGATAGATCGGTAAGGGTGTGGATGATCTTTAAAGAATTCTTCTCGTAATTCTACACTCTGCCTATAAAAATCATGCTATCAAGTGCGGGAACAGTTTGCAGACGATTGCTGATAGCGTTTACGTTCTGCCAAGTCAAGGGTTTAGCGATGTCTTTCGATCACGGAGAAGAAACAAGAGATGTGTGAACAGCTGAACATTGTATAAAGTCGGTCAGATGCACAACAGCATATCTCAATCTTCTCCGCCACTCTCGATCTGGTTTTTTTTTCTGTATCTAAGTCCACGTTAGAAGATGTCAACAAGAAAGGCCTCCAGAGGTATGGTTCAAGGCCAGTAGTATGGAGTACTCAATAAGGATGTTCGCTTGAAAACGAAACGGAACTAATGCTTTTAATTTAATTATATAATTAAATTTAAAGTTTTTAGCTTCCATTTTTGAAACATGGTTATTACTGTGTAGCGAAAAAAAACATATTTTAAATCAGTTAGTTTATAATATTTAGGCTCTGTAAATTTAGATTGAGCACTGTTTTGTAAAAATAAAAAAAATATCAATATCAGGATTATATATCTTACGGATTGAGGAATTAATGTAATGGATTCGAATTCCAGTCGAATCCATTACATTCACTTACGTGCTAATACCCTTAGGAAAGGGGTGAATCCTCTTCTTCTCCCTCCAGCTATGGGTAAATAGCAGGACAGACTGGGTTCTATAGCCTTGAATGGGAACTGGTCTGGGAGAAGGACAACTTTGAATTCAAAACCTGCGGAGGGTTGTTTGGGGACCTTGTGGCACTGCACCAGGTCTCTGTATTTGACCCTTCAAAAAGTGTGGATGGTCCTGCACGAAACCTTTACCACTATAATCAAAATGTCATGTGCTGTTGTCGGGCTGTTGGTTTCCTAGGAACTGATCTGCTTGACCCTCATACATCGAATTCGAAGGAACAGTCGAATATATATATATATATATATATATATATATATATATATTATGCATCGTCAGCATTTAGCTAAAAAAAGCATACCATGATGAAAAAAGGCCCCTTTTGGGTGGCAAGTTACTCACTGCTCTGTCGTTACTTCCGTGGAAAGTGCTCGGACAAACTGCATTCTGTGTTTCCGCCAGTCCTAATCTTCACAGCTATGACCCGCCGTGATGCCCACATCGTAGCAAACGATGTGAGGCGTCCTAATACTTAATTGTTGACAGAGCTGAACATAGCTAAGTGATATAATGGAATATGCATACACCTGTATTGCCCCTCACTGGAATATGATTGGCTGGTGTCTGTCATAAATATCGACGGACGTGTGGGTGAGTCAAGAGCCTTAGTCTGAGAGCTAAGTCTATAACGACGCCCATTGGACTACGCCATTGATCTACACTTCTTACCTGCGACTACGACGCGTACTAGTCGATTACTGCTACCATATTCTACTTGGTTATAGTAGCCCAAACCACTTAGCTATTTCGTTCAAAGTATTCGACTGGAATTCGAACTCGGCTCTCCGATTCATCAGTCCAAGCCGCTAAGTATCAAATATTGCTTTAAAGCTGTAGAGAGGCGTGGCAACCCACGTCACCAACGGGCACGCTGTAAAATGCGATAGTAAATATAAAAATCAAAATCTGGTATTAATTAAAGATTTCTAAAGAATCTAGTGTTATTAGTTTATATTAAAAGCACACTGCTATTAATTATAGGTTACCATTCATCTTGCCTGAAGAGGGAAACTACTTCAAAAAGACAACCAAATTCTATCCATTTATCAAAAAAAAAAAAATAAAATAAAAAAAATAAATGAAGTTATTCTATGAGAAAAAGAATAAATTTCTTAATCAACTGCCTTCGTATATATTAGATTGATAAACATTTCCGATTTGTTCTTCTTTCGCTTATAATTCGATCGGATTCGTATCCATATTTGATCTGTTTTTGATCCCAGTTCATCATAAGTTACTATCTACAAATCCACAATTCGCCTTTACATGGAGTATTGCTGCCATATATGGTCTGGTGCCCCTTCTGTTTGCCTCGGGGTTCTTGATAGGCTCCAGAGGCGGATATGCAATGTGGTTGGCCCTGCCCTGGCGTCTCGTCTACAGTCACTTTCTCACAGACGCGCCGTCTCCTCCCTCTGTCAGTTCTACAAATACTTTCATGGAAATTGCTCCGAGGAGCTGCATTCGCTGGTTCCCAGACGTCATGAGTTCCAGCGCCTTACGAGGCTGGCATCCCGCTCTCACCCCTTCACTGTCGAAACTCCTAAATGTAGCCATCTCTTCTACTCCAATAGCTTCATGTCTCGCACCTCTAGCCTGTGGAGCTCCCTTCCATTCTCCTATTTCCCTGTGAGCTATAATCTCCAGCTATTCAAGTGTAATGTCAATCGACATCTCCAGTTGCCTTGATCTATCCACTACCCTTCCCCTCATCCTTTCTTCTATTACTCCTATCTGATCTTGCTCTGAATTTTCTGTAACCCCAACGCGTCCTAGTGGCTTCCCGCCTTGCTTGGGGTGAAATGGTTAAAAAAAAATCTATAGCCCATTCGGTAGAGTAATAGATAGCGGCTTGGACTGATGAATCGGAGAGCCGAGTTCGAATTCCAGTCGAATCCTTTACATTCACTTACTTGCTAATACCATTGAGAAAGGTATGGATCCTCTCTTCTCTCAGTAGGACAGACAGGGTTCTATAGCTTTGGATGGCCACTGGTCTACCGCAGAGAGAAATGGCAACCTAGTGCGGGAAAAATCTGCCCCGTCAGTCATGTCTCAAAAGATACATAATCGCCTAGTTTACCATTCATCTTGCCCGAAGAAACTACTTAAAAAAGACAAGCGTGTATCACGCATAGCACATAACTGACTGATCATTAATAGGTCAAATATTGGTCTCTGTAAAGGTCATATTTTATCGAGGTTCGGCTTAATATCTGCCCCGTTCAATCGCGCAGGTTGATAGGGAAAATAACTGTGGTATTTTTCTTGAAGAACGACTCGGGTATCAAGAATTGGCACTTACTTACAGCAGTCTTGTTTAAATGATGCGTGAGCCATTCTGCCTGGAGCATATGATTTTTATCCTACCTGGATGGATTGGGTATGTTGCTATTTCTCTTGCACGTTCGTGAAAGTTATGATCGACCACGGACCAAGGACATAACAAAAAGACGACGTTGTTGAAATAAAACCTGAAAGTGGTAACTACCTGAGCATTTAGATCCCAGCTTGGGAGTAAAAAGCAATATTAACGTTTTAAGTAGTATATTTTGATAGTCTAACAGTTATCTTACTTATTATAAAACGCAGATTGTGTGAGTGTGTGGTGTGTGTGTGTCTGTACGTTTATATATTGGATCGAATTTCCTACATTTTTCAACCGATTTTAACAAAACTTCACAGGACTACGTAAAATTACCTTGCAGTGGTTCTAACAGCCCCCAAAATTGGAAAAACACAATTGTTTTTGCACGAAATCAATTTGAAAACACGATTAAGAGGCATCATCACGAGAATGAAAGGGGGACAACTCATATCGAGTTATACTTATTATAAAACCCAGGTTGGTTGTGTGTGTGTGTGTGTTCGTTTATATATGGGATCGGATTTCCTACATTTTTCAACCGATTTCAACAAAACTTCACTTTTTTTTGGCAGGTAGTGTTTCTTATTGTATTGCACACTTTTTTCTTTATTTTTACATTCAGAATGCTTTAAAAATTCCATTTACAAGACGATTGTTTATAATAAAATTCTGTTTAACGATTGAAAACAATGTTTTTGTTTGAGTTTTGGTTTGACCAATTCGTAAAAAAAAAAAAAAAACTAATTAAGACATGCGTGTCCGTCAACCTTAAACAATAATCTTTGTCAATTTTATTTTTCAGTTTTCATGATGGTCGATACTTGATCTATCTCTTACTGTTACATCCCCGGGCAACGCCGGGCTCTACTGCTAGTAAATGATAATACTATAGCATAATGTATATGAAATATATGACTAAAAACATTTAAACTTATCGATCCATTAATTTTTAACAATTTTGAGAATAAAATTTCATGAGATACGTAAATCTTTCGAAACAAAGATTGTATAGCGTGGCGGAACTAAAGAAAGGTTTTTAGTCCACGCAATAACGGGCATCGGTGATAGTTAATAAATTATATCAGAAGTATGTATAGATAAGTTAAAATTAATTAAATCATATTTGTTCATGAATTTTTTTTTCTGATATGATAAATTATATCTGACAAAGCAATTTCTATTTTAAAAGATATTACTGTTCTTTTCTTATGAAGCAAACATTTGGCTAAATAAAGTAAATTTTATGGCGACTGAAATATCTCTTCTCAAGACTCAATTCTGAGTTGCATCCCAGGAGATAAAAAACGATTTAGTTGGTTACTTATTATAATTATCTAATTCTTCAGGCAAATTCAGTCGGCGCCACGGTGAGTTAGAGTTTGATCCATTTGAGGGGATTAATATCATTCTCTGAAAGGGAATTTTAAACGTGAGAGTTTATGACTTAAAGCGTATATTTTTTTAAACCAAGTGTTTTAAGGCAGGGTGGACGAACCACGAATTTTATCTTACCAACGATAAATAGCTGTTGACAATGGCTGGTAAAGTCTCTCAGTATATATTTTCTTTTTAATATAAAAAAGCAACATGAAGAGTAATGTCCTGTAAATTGGTAAGAAACGAGGTAATATATATTTCAGTCTCCTAATATTTCAGTCTTTCGTATACCCTTATCTATCTATCTATCTATCTATCTATCTATCTATCTATCTATCTATCGCAGTTTCTTTATCCGAGTTTCTTTATCTATCTATCTATCTATCTATCTATCTATCTATCTATCTATCTCTATCTATCTCTTCATTATCTATCAGTTTCATCTATCTTCTATCTATCTATCTATCTATCTTTATCCGGAGTTTCTTTATCTATCTATCTATCTATCATCTATCTATCTATCTATCTATCTATTCATCGCAGTTTCTTTATCCGAGTTTCTTTATCTATCCGATCTATCTATCTTTATCTATCTATCTATCTATCTATCTATCCCATTCTCTTCTTTATCTATCTATCTATCTATCTATATCTATCTATCTATCTATCTATCTATCTATCCCATTCTCTTCTTTATCTATCTATCTATCTATCTATCTATC